AATGAAGCAACATATATAATCAAATCTTTCTATTTGGGGAAGAATATGATTCTATGACCACCACTATCTCAAAAGGCAAGCATGCATGCTTTTGGATGGGCAGATTGAAATGCCTCTAAATTACACTAAGTATTATTAATATTCTGTAAAAGCAATTCTTTCGTCTTACTATTACTTTCACATTTATTGTCTTATTTTGACTTAACTTCTAGATGAAATTTATATTAGAAAGAGAAGCAATAAATATCATCTCCTTGTGGCTGGGTTCGATTCCTCACAGCGTGAGACAGTTATTTTAACATAATGTCCTTAGTTGTTTGTACCCGGGACAAATTACATTTCATGTATATACACATATACGGAGTAAATTATAAAAATAAAATTAATCTAGAGATAAATGAAGTAATTATTAGGTTATTTTGGGTTGTCAAAGTGTACATAAAATGAAAAAAAAAGGATGAGAAATAAAAAAGGTTATGAGGGTGGATTACATGATGGAACAGGCATTAGGGTTATCGTCGCTGAAGAAGTAAGCGAGGCGTTGATCGGTGGCCTGAGGGGGCAGGATCGCCTGCTGCGCGTTCTTCACATGACCCGGTGGTGCCCTCCTGTCATACACAGCCGAGGGGTTGTACACTGCGCTGCATGGGATGTACGGCCAGAACTCGGCCCTTTTCCCCGTTCTCTTCACGTTCCTTAACACCTTGTTTGGCTCCACGAATCCGTTCACCGTCACCTTGCTTTGCTTTCTGTTCACGTCTATGCTTTTCACCCCTGATCCCCTCCCAAACAAACAAATCAAACTTAGATCCTACGTTTCAATTTATTTTATGTAAAGATTGACATATAAATAAAAATAAAATTTACATACTCCCTCCGTCCTAAAACTTTCTTCTCAGTTTGACTTTTCTCCATTTTTAATTTTTGGCTTTGACTTCAAATTTTACCTTCCTTAAAAAAGATTTTTTGAAATTTTTTTTTGCAATCATTCAAAATATAGAGTTAGAAGATAATTGGTGTAAATACATGAGGGTAATAATGTCATTTGTCATCTTTTTTTTCTAATGGGAAGGTAGTTATAGGACGGAGAAAAAGGAGAAGTGGGAAGAAAGTTTTAGGACGGAGGAAGTATTTAAAAAGTATATCAAAAGTTCTACTCCCTCCGCCCTAAAATTAACTTCCCATTTGACTTTTCACGGTCTCCAATGCGACACTTTGACCATCAATATCTCATTTTTTATATAAATATATTTTATGAAAATTATATATTTCAAAACTATGTTTCAAAATGAATCTATTGCTAATAAATTTATATGAAAATTCAATGTATTTTTTCCGTAATATACGGTCATCAAAGTTTAAAAAATTTGACTACAAAAGTCAAACTGAGAAGTTAATTTTAAGACGGAGGGAGTATAAAAAAGAGGTTACAAGTTTCATCTAATAGTCAATGAAAAGACACAAATAAACAAAAGTTGCGATTTTTGAATCATGAAGTTTGTAAATCTTTTCGAGACAGAGAGAATGAATTTTTTTCTATAATTTGTGATGAAGTTTAATGAGACCGGTGTATATACGAGATGAGGTTTTATATTACTCTAACTTAATTTATCTCCTCGATCACAAATAACTTTATGATATAGCTGGAGATGAAGAGGTTCATTTTTTTGAAAAAAATTGGGCCAAATAGCGCCGGTACCCCTCGTGGTTTGCAAAACAAGCATCAATACTCCCTCTGTTTTCAAAACTCATTTTTAAAGTCCCTATCGTTTCAAAATGCTGCACCCGTGCCCCTTCTGATAATTTTCCGGCCATTTTTCCGGCGAGGAGGGAGATATTGGTGTGTTTTTTAAACCATAGGGGGTATCAGTGCTGATTTTTATTTCTTTAATATTTTTTGTTTTTTCCATTTTTTTTCCATTTTTCCTTTTTTATTTCATTTATTAATGAAGATTTTTTTATAATGTTTCTTAAAATTTAAAGTTACTTTTGTTAGAAAAAATTAAGATATAATGCATATGTACGTCTCAAATTAACAATTTTTGTTTTTTCTGAAAAAAAGTAAATTTTTTTTGAGACTTCAAGAAATGAGGAATAAAATAAGAAACAAAATAATACAAAAATAAAAATGAATATCCTTTTTGGACATGTTAATTCTAAGGACTTTTTTAGGCGTGTCTAATTTTTTGTATAAGATTTCTTTTGCATATTTTAATTTTTTTCAATTCTTTTTTTCATATTTTTATTTTTTTATT